ATATGGTTGGCAACACAACTTGTCGTCTCTCTGCTGTTTCAGCACTGTAACAGGTAAAAAAAAGGTCTTCGAAGCTATATCATGCATATTAATTAAGTTGCACCTTATACACCATAGAGATCGCTGATTGGTTCGAACCAAGTCTTGCTCCTGAATTAATGCTGCAAGCTCAAAGACAACACGTTGTACTCACTGGTACAGACATCCAGTATACACGCTGGAATTCACACAAGAATCTAATCGCTGTGACGCAGCTTCAAAATTTATTTTCAAACCAGAAGAACGAATTTGCTCGAAATAATGCAAAAACAACCAATTTTCACTTTTTTTGTGAAATATATGTGTCCTAATAAGGTTTTCAGCAGTGTGAGAAACATATATGAATGTCAGCATCTCAAAAAATGTGTTTTGGTGTTTCGTGACCTTTTCACTCAACTTCATCCAGTTTTGTGACCTGATCTAAAGTGAGGATTATTTATGCTTTATAACGGCTCAGTATTAAATGAACAATACGTCTTTGCAATCTTTTCTAAAAAAAGTAAAATTAGTGTGAAGTTTAAACATTGCCGAATAACAGGAGTGTCAAAATACAACATAAAATTGGATGAAACAGCAACAACAATATATTAATTTAACAATATATTATAATACAATTATGATATATTATGATCTCATTTTGAGCTAAATAATGAGAAAGAATCAAATCTCCTACCACAGCTATGCTGATGACAACTAGATCTACCTAGCCCTACTGCCTAATGACTACAGCCCCATTGACACCCTCTGCCAATGCATTGATGAAATTAACAACTGGATGTGCCAAAACTTTCTTCAGTTAAACAAAGAGAAAACTGGAGGGTCAAAAGGTCAAATAAAAAAAAAATAAGGTCAAAAATCTTGGTGTGACTCTGGAGTCAGATCTGAGTTTCAATAGTCATGTCAAAGCAGTCAGTAAATCAGCATACTATCATCATAAAAACATTGCAAGAATCAGATGCTTTGTTTCCAGTAAAGACTTAGAGAAGCTTGTTCATGCTTTCATCAGCAGCAGGGTGGATTACTGTAACTGTCACCCCACTGACCTTCAAAAAAAAAAAGACAGTCAGACAGTTGCAGCTCATCCAGAATGCTACAGCCAGGATTCTGACCAGAACCAGAAAATCAGAGCACATCACATCTGTCCTCAGGTCTTTACACTAGCTCCCAGTTACATTCAGAATAGATTTTAAAGTATTATTACTTGTCTATAAATCACTAAATAGCCTAGGACTTCAATACATTACAGATATGCTCACTGAATACAAACCTAACAGATCACTCAGATCTTTAGGTTCAAATAAACTAGAAATTCCAAGAGTTCAGTCAAGATCAGGGTGAATCGCCCCTCGCTGCTGGAATCAGCTTCCAGAAATGATCAGATGTGCTCCAACATTAGGCACATTTACATCAAGACTGAAAACACATCTGTTTAGCTGTACCTTTACTGAATGAGCACTATGCTGCATCCGACAGATCGCATTATTATGTTATTTTCTCTTTTTGATTTTTTTATAACCTGTTTTAACAAATTTTTATCTCTTTTTAAAAATTTCTATTGTTAGTTTTTTTTCTTCTTAGACTTGTCTTTTTTATTCTTGTTTATGTAAAGGACTTTGAATTGCCACTGTGTATGAAATGTGCTATATAAATAAACTTGCCTTGCCTTACAACATTTCAATGCGATGTTTAAACAGCACAGTAATTTTATTTTAGTTAAGATTGCAAAGATTTATTTCTCATTTGATACAGATTCATTTATTCTTATTCAACTGAATAGAAATGAATAAAGTTGTTTATATTCTTTCTTGGGTGACGCATGGGTGCAGTAGGTATTGTTTTCGCCTGACAGCAAGAAGATCAATTGTTTAAGCCTCGGCTGGGTCAGTTGGCATTTCTGTGAAGAGTTTGCATGTTCTCCCCACATTCGCATGGGTTTCCTCCGGGTGCTCCGGTTTCCCCCACTGTCCAAAGACATGCAGTACAGGTGAATTGGGTAGGCTAAATTGTCTGTAGTGTATGTGTGTGTATGGGCTGCAGCTGGAAGGGCATCTGCTGTGTAAAACATGTGCTGGATAAGTAAGTGGTTCATTCCGTTTTGGCGACCCCAGATTAATAAAGGCACAAAGTCGAAAAGAACCAGTTTTACCTGTTTATAAGGCTTTAATTGTCATTTATTAGGGGTTATATAAAGCATGTAAAGTCCTCACTTTAGAATAGGTCACAAAACTGGCTGAAGTTGTTTATAAAGCATTTATTAACATACAAATTAACTGTTAGTATAAATAGCTTAATAATAATTTACTTATACATTCTGAAAAGTCTTTAAAAAACAGCAACTTCTCTCAAATAACTGGTTTGTAAATAATATAATAATTTAGTAATGAAAAATAATAATTAACAAATATGAAAATACAATCATTAAGCACATTATATATATGCTTTAAAGTCAAGAATACAGCATTTGTATCTGCAGTTATTAACTGCTCACTGACATCTATTAATGAAGAGTTCATTCTTAACAGATAATGAATTAACTATTTGCTAATGCTTAATAAATGGTTCATATCGTGTACCTATTATAAAGTGCTTTATTTTGGGTCCACTGTCTTTTTTAAAGTTTTAAAAGTTTAAAATTTAGTTAATTTAGTTTTAGAGGTCTACTACATCCGGTGTGAAAAAACACCCTTATCATAAGATTCATAAAGCATTACCTTATTGTTCAAAAAGTTTCCACGCATGTACATCAGGGTTGATCACACCATGACTTACAAAAATATGCCACAAATTCAAGAGGACAAAACAAATGCCCCTGTGTAAATTCCAGATTGAAGTTAAATGTGAACGTAAATGAAAAGTGACAGTTTGCAGGCTTACACTTAGATCTGTGCATGTTTCATCAGATTTCTTTCAGCTTTGAGAATAAAAGCAATCACCCGCATTCTCTTGAGTTTATGAACACTGTGGCCAGTCAGTTACGTTTAGATTTGTCACAGCTACTGTAAAAACACTTGAGTTTACACACACTCAGTGATTTCATTCTCAATGTACCATATGAGTTTCGTTTTGCAGATTCAGGGATGCAATGATACATGTTGTAAACACAAACTGGCTAAAGGCAGCTAATGAAAACCAATAGGCTGCTAAGAAAATGTGTTATGGATCTACAGTAAGTAGATCAGTTACAGAAGTAAAATGTTAATTTTATTTCTTTATTGGACACACTCCAATTTACACTCACTGACTTTACTAGGCTGACTCACTTTATTAGGTACACCTGTCCAACTGCTCATTTACAAATTTCTAATCAGCCAATCACAAGGTAGCAACTCAATGGATTTACAGTAGGCATGTAGACATGGTCAAAACCATCTGCTGCAGTTCAAAATGAGCATCAGAATGGGGTAGAAAGGTGATTTAAGTGACTTTAAACGTGGCATGGTTGTTGGTGCCCGACGGGATGGTCTGAGTATTTCAGAAACTGCTGATATACTGGGATTTGCACGTTTTACCATCTCTAGAGTTTACAGAGAATGGTCAGAAAAAGAGAAAATATACAGTAAGCTGTAGTTCTGTGGGCACAAATGCCTTGGCCATGCCAGTGGTCAGAGGAGAATGGCCAGACTGGTTCGAGCAGATAGAAAGACAACAGCAACTCAAATAACCACTCGTTGCAATCGAGGTATGTAGAAGAGCATCTCTGAACACACAACATGTCAAACCTTAAGGGAAAAGGGCTACTGCAGCAGAAGACCATACTGGGTGCCACTCCTTTCAGCTAAGAACAGGAAACTAAGGCTACAATTCACACAGGCTCACCAAAATTGGACAATAGAAGATTGAAAAAACATTACCTGGACTGATGAGTCTTGATTTCTGCTGTGACATTCGGTTGGTAGGGTCAGAATTTGACGTCAACAAAATTAAAGCATAAATCCATCCTGGCTTGTATCAACGGTTCAGGCTGGTGGTGGTTCATTGTACTCAAATGGCCTCCACAGTTACCAAAGCTCAATCCAAATGAGAACCTCTGAAATGTGGTGGAATGGGAGATTCGCATTATAGATATGCAGCCGACAAATCTGCAGCAACTGCTTGATGCTATCATGTCAATATGGACCAAAAGTTCTGAGGAATATTTCCAGTACATTGTTGAATCTATGCCACGAAGGAATAAGGCAGTTCTGAAGGCAAAATGGGTCCAACCCAGTACTGGTAAGGTGTACATAATAAATTGGCCGGTAAGTGTATAACAGATCCATATACTAGCATAAAAACCTCCCCGTTTGGCTATTTAGTATATAAACTAATAGCGAACAGACACGGCACCCGATTGAGCAACAGGGTTGCCAGATCAAGCACAGGTTAATCCATTAAATAGTGGAGCCGAGAGAGCTGCGTTGCCAAATTCTGATTGTGACCATAAGGGTCCGTTTTGCAGGGACATCTGCTCATCTTGGAGTCAAGTGGGCCTCAGAGGCTCCAAGTGCCTATTTCAAACAGCTAGATTAACATATCCAACACCAGCCCTGCCTGATTAGTACAAGCAGCACTGAGGCCAATAGCAGGAATCACAAGAGCTGTAATAGAGCCTCAATCACACCTTGGAGAATGTGACAAAAAACAGCTTCTTCTCTTTTTATCACTGCACGATGACGCCTTCTATTTTAGGGATGCAACTGAAAATTAGAGGGTGTTTTTGTTTTTTTCCGGATACTGTTGGGGCTTCTGGGACTGTACGCTTTCATGGGGATTGAGGCCTAAAATGAAAGGTAGGGAGGTTGGTATCAGTGATGGCTCACAGGCCTGCTGCTGCAGATGAGAGAGTACCGCACTGGCGCAGGAATGACTCACTGACAGTGCCACAAATCACATTCTTTCTGAATAACAGAGACACGGCTCAATGGTTCAAGCCTTCGGTGGTTTGATGCGCACGCTGATCAGATGCCTTTTTCTTGTCTTAGGGTATTCCATACTGCAGGCCATCATGGAAAAGGCAGGCCAGAATGGTTGGCAGGTCAGCGCCATATGTGTGGAGAACTTTAATGATGCCAGTTACCGGCAACTTCTGGAAGACCTGGACCGAAGGCAGGAAAAGACGTTTGTCATAGACCTGGAGGCAGAGAGACTGAACAACATGCTGGAACAGGTGAGATAGGCTTAAAAAAGTGCTTGACACATGCATTTTTAAAAAAAAAAATCACTTTAATCCAATTAAGAAAAGTAAAATGCATAGAACCATGTAGTAGTAGTAGTAACATGTATAGTATACATTATGCTATGTTATAAAGTGTATATATTGTAATAAAATTATCATTATTTTATTATTGTTATTATTTAATAGTTTGCAAGTTGAACCAGCCATTTTTCTAAATATATTACATTGTGTTAAGAAAAAGCAAAAACATGTATGCAGGTTTGGAACAAAATAAGTGTGAAGGATGATGTTTTTGGGTAAGCGGTCTCTTTAAACATTAACATAATGGCATATGAAATTCACAATCATAGAGAATTGCAAATAGATTGGTTGCAAATGTTTTTTAGGGTCTGCACACTGTACCAAATGTAGTGCATCATGCTTAACTAAAAAGAAATATTCACAAGCACAAGGTCCTGAGGGAACAAAGAACAGATTTCCTGAAATGACACATTAGACAGGCATATTTCTTTATTCCCTGCAAACTGATCCCTTGATATTTCTTTTTACAACATTTTATAGCTGTCAAAGCAGTTTTAAGATGTATTCTAGCCGCTGTTTGCTTTAATATTCCTCAATTTACAGAGCAGTATGGGAAAAGGCAGCTTGTTTGAATAGAAATAATTAATAACAGCAGAATTTTGCTTTCCCTACGGCTTACAGCTCTGCTGTAGATTCATATGCTGGGTGAATGCCGACAACTGTATTTGCTTTTAGGATTTACCCTCACTGCAATGTCTGGTTTATCTCTGCAGATTGTGAGTGTCGGCAAGCATGTCAAAGGCTACCATTACATCATGGCAAATTTGGTGAGCTAAATTGTATTCCTTTATCGCCTTATTTTCCCTGTCAGCTTGTCCTCCTTTCATATGCTGTTTTATCTCTTCCTTTCGACACATTCCTCTCCACTGGTCTCTCTCTCTCTTTCCATCTCTTTAGTTGTCTTGTCCTCTCTGTTTCCTGCCCTCCCTCGTTCTTTTTCTTTCTTAATCCTCGCTTTTCTTTAAGCAAGATACGTCAATTTGAGAGACTAATTCGTATTCCAGTGTGAGCGCTGGTGACAGTGTTTTAATGATGCTGGGAGCTGCAGAGCGTGCTCTCTCTCCCTGCTCTCTGGCTGTGCACAGAATTGGCTCAGAGAGGCAAGCTGGATATGAATGTTTGTGGAATTTCTCTTATCATAGCGCTGCATTGCCGACGACGTTTTAATAATCTCTCTCCCTCTCGCTGTATTTCTTACTCTTTCCCCTTCTTTGCTCTGGCAGGGTTTTAAGGACATCAATCTGGAGCGTTTCATGCATGGGGGAGCCAATGTGACAGGCTTTCAGCTGGTGGACTTCAGCAATCCCATGGTTATTAAACTCATGCAGCGCTGGAACAAGCTGGACCAGCGCGAGTACCCCGGCTCTGACGCACCTCCCAAGGTAACGTTGCATGGCTTGGTCCAGCGCACAACCGCTTTGAAGCCTGATATATTAGCATAAATGCATAAGCGTCCTACTTGAGTCCCTCCAGCCACATTGAGAAAACTTGCAAATTACAACAAGACTGTTGATCACACCCACTGGCTTTATAAATGTGTTTAAACTATGCAGAAAGTATGGATGGAAGTAAGTAAGTAAGTAAGTAAGTAAGTAAGTAAGAAAGAAAGAAAGAAAGAAAGAAAGAAAGAAAAAGAAAGAAAAAAATGAAAGAATTGAAGAATGGATTGATAAGTGGTTGGGTTAGTTAATGGATGGAAACATAGAAAGCAGTAGAGGATGAGGGGATGAAAGGAATGAAAGAGAAAAATAGATGGAAAAGGGTATATATATATATATAATATATATATATACTGTATGTATATATATATATTAGCGCTGTCAAAATTAACGCGTTAACGCATGCGATTAATTTTAAATAATTAACCCGTTAAAAAAAATTAACGCAATTAACGCAGTTCAGGTTTTTTTTACTTCCTGTTGTGGTGGACGTGTGTTCAACATGCAATAAATGTGGATAAGACCAAGGAAAGCACTTTTTGAAGGCAAGTTCCAGTATAAAACAATTAGTTGCATCACAAGTTATCCAGAGTTTCATGCAATTTCGGGTGTTTCATTTTTAACTTTCGACTTCTGTTGTAAGTTGAGACTGCATGGCGAACAGAAAGAAAATCCTCCGCATTTCGTGACTCGGTGTTCCTTTAAGGTAAGGTTCCTTTTAAGGCTTCACGGTAGAATTTTAAAAAGAGTATTATCTTAATCATATTAAAATCGGAGTATTGGTGTCTTATGTAAATGTACTCAGAACGTCTGGTGAAGTCGCGAGCTGTCAAAGACAGGGCATTACTCTGCCTTTCAGTATGCGCCCTCCAAGTTTAGCGTGTTTCCTCATTAAACGCAACGAAAGCGTATGCTTCACGTTGTTGTGTCAGAATCCTGGTGAAATAATGTAATTTAGGACGCTTAGTTTAGGACGCTTAGCAAATTTGATGAACGTGATCATGCGTGTTGAATATGAGGGGAGTCGCTCCAGTATGGAAGGCCGTTGGGGCCAAAACGTCTGCAGCGGGTTGTGTGTGTCTGTCTGTGTGTGTGTCTGTGTCAGGCCTGTTGAGGGGTGTCAGGGGTGGAGTGAGCGACATATCTGAGTAGGGGCGGGAGGGGTGTTCAATGTATTTAACGACCGGTTTGCAAGAAATTATCATTCATTTGCGGGCATTTGGGAGTCTCTGTGCACTTGCAGGATACTCCTAGTCTTAGGCCCCGTTTACACTAGTGCGTTTTAGTTTTAAAACGGCGTTTTAGAATGAAAACGATCCGCGTCCACACTCGCGTTTCACCCAGCGTTTCTGAACTGCTCTCCGTCCACACCAAAATGCACATCACGTGACCACACACACACACTCTCAGGCAAGCGCTGTAGCCAATCTACCCAGATGAGAGCTGTGCTAGTCGGACTTCTCATCAAGCATCTCCCGCTGGATCTAACCTCACTATATTTATTAAACGGAATATTTCTTTCATCTTGTTGTCTTTATTTAACGACATATTCATTGGACATTGGAATCTATTACTTGTTCTCAGGTAACGTGTTTTGGCTAAGCGCAAAGATAAGTTAATGATTAATGTAAGCACGTACATTCTGTAACGTTATATTGACTGATCGCTTGCCTTTATTTCCTATAATGTATAAACTTATTGTATGTTATACTTTTATAATGGCCATTATCGATTAAAACTGATATTCAGCAAAGAGAGGGTGTGTTTCGTATTTTCACTGAAATTGAAAGGAGGCAGTTGTTGTAGGCTCCGTTTTGTTATAAATATGCACACAGTGAAGATGACGCTCATATTTGCAGCACGGCGCCTCAACATTTTTGCTGTCTGTTTAGTTGTTAATATTAAAATGAAAATAGGCAGTTCCTTATATCATGTTTACATTTTATTGTTGAGAAAGTAAAACAACGTAGCCAGGGTGATGTGAATGAAGTTATAAAGTACACTGTTCCCTTTGAAGATTTACCCGTGTCCTCGGTATAGTCTGTTTTCCATATCAAACTGAGAAGAAGAGACTGCAGCCTTGATCAAACTTGCGAAGTTTTAACTTACACGGAGAAGATGCAGGACTGAACTGTGCGTGTTAGGCTACTTAATATTCAGGAAAAGCCCGAATCAGAGAGGCGAATGTCTGCAGCCCCGCCTCCGTTTTCAAATGTCTCCGTTTTCCATCATCCACACTGAGACGGAGCAGCTGCGTTTCAGAATGAAAACGGCCTCTCCAGCGTTTTCGAAACGCTCCGTTTTCGGCGCTCGAGAACTCCGGCGTAGTGTGGACGGATGGCGTAACCGTAGCAAAACTTATGCGTTTTCAAACTAAAACGCATTAGTGTAAACGGGGCCTTAGCTACTGGATGAATGTAAAGGAGGATTAAGCAAAATTGTTTCTACTCTATAATTAATGTTCTCAACTCACAGCAATAAAACTTTACAATGAGTGCAACACTTTGTATTCTATAGTTTATTATTATAATTTTTCATTTTACATATCTGCAATTCCTGTATTTTGTTGTATTTGTATGTTTTTGCAGTCCACTTAGAATCCAACATGGAAATCAATGTTTTCTTTATTGGCATTGATTGTTTTGAAATTTAAATGTCATTAACATGCCTGTGTTTTAATTTCTGTAATAAATATGGCTGTCAACCCAGGATCTTGATGGTTTATTGTGGGTATGTTGTTTACATGAAAAAATCTGTGTTACAAGTTAAACAAAAATTTTATTAAACAATAATATTTAGAATTTAAATATTTTTTTCTTGCGTTTACATTAATTTTACATTTAAATAGGCAAAATTACAAGTTTCAGTATTTTAAATGCGATTAATTTTTTAAAAAGGTGCGATTAATTAGTTAATTTTTTTTAATCGATTGACAGCACTACTATATATATATATATATATATATATATATATATATATATATATATATACTGTATATGTGTGTGTGTGTGTGTGTGTGTGTGTGTGTGTGTATATATATATATATATATATATATATATATATATATATATATATATATATATATATATATATATATGTATATACATACATACATACATACAGTTAAAGTCAGAATTATTAGCCCCTTTCAATTTTTTTTCTTCTTTTTTAAATATTTCCCAAATTGTGTTTAACAGAGCAAGGAAATTTTCACAGAATATCTGATAACATTTTTTCTTATGTTTAATTTCGGCTAGAGGAAAAGCAGTTGTTAATTTTTTTTCACCATTTTAGGGACAAAACTATTAGCCCCTTTTAGCTAAAATTTTCCTTGAAAATCTACAGAACAAAACATCATTATACAATAGCTTGCCCTATTACCCTAACCTGCCTAGTTAAACTAATTAACCTAGTTAAGCCTTTAAATGTCACTTTAAGCTGTATAGAAGTGTCTTGAATAATATCTAGTAAAATTTTATTTACTGTCATCATGGCAAAGATAAAAAAAAACATTATTAGCAATGAGTTATTAAAAACACTATGCTTATAAATTGTTGGAAAAATCTTCTCTTCGTTAAACAGAAATTGGGAAAAAAAAATAAACAAGCGGTCTAATAATTCAGGGGTGCTAATAATTCTGACTTCAACTGTGTGTGTGTGTGTGTGTGTGTGTGTGTGTGTGTGTGTGTGTGTGTGTGTGTGTGTGTGTGTGTGTGTGTGTGTGTGTGTGTGTGTGTATGTATGTGTATATATATATATATATATATATTGGTTGGTGGGTGAGGATTTGAATGGAAGGAAAAAAGAAATAGACAAAGATTGGTTAGTGGATGGAAGAAAAAAGGTATAGATTTATTGAAGGAAGTGAAGAATGAGGGATGGATTAAAGATAAAGAAATATAGACAGACTGAGGGTGGGTGAAAGGAAGGGTTGGTTGGTTGGTTGGTTGAAGGACAGATGAAGACAAATTAAGGATGGATGGATGGATGGAAGAAAGAAAGGACTGGTTAAAGAACAGATGAAGACAAATTAAGAATGGATGGATGGAAGGAAGGAAGGAAGGAAGGAAGGAAGGAAGGAAGGAAGAACTGGTTTAAAGACAGATGAAGTTAAAGACAAATTAAGGATGGAGGGATGGATGGATGGAAGGGGTGGTTGAAGGACAGAAGAAGAATTTATGAATGGATGGATGGAAGGAAGGAAGGAATGAGGGAAGGAAGGGCTTTTTGTAGGACAGATGAAGACAAATTAAGAATGGATTGATGGATGGAAAGAAGGAAGGAAGGAAGAACTGGTTGAATGATAGATGAAAATTAAGACAAATTAAGGATGGATGGATTTATGGATGGTAGAACTGGTTGAAGGACAGATTAGGACAAATTAAGGATGGAAGGAGGGAAAGAAGGAAGGAAGAAAGGAATGAGGTTGAAGGAAGGAAGGGCTGGTTGAAAAACAGATAAAGACAAATTATGGATGGATGGATGGATGGATGGATGGATGGATGGATGGATGGATGGATGAACGGACAGACAGAAGGAAGTAAGGGCTGGTTGAAGGACAGATGAAGACAAATTAAGAATGCTTAGATAGATGAATGGAAGGAAGGAAGCAAGAACTGGTTGAAGCGCAATGGAAGACAAATTAAGGATGGATGGATGAACAGAGGGAAGGAAGGGTTGGTTGAAGGACAGATGAAGACAAATTAAGGATGGATGTAAGGAAGAAAAGACTGTTTGAATGACAGATGGATTTATGGATGGATGGATAATTTAAGAAAGGCAATATAATGTAAGGTAAAGTAATATAAGGAAGGACATAAAGCATAGATGTATGTTTGACTGGAAGTAAAGATAGATTGAAGGAGGAAGGGTAGATAAAACAAGAAAAGACCAGTCAGATCGAAATAAAAAGAGTGCCGTACAGACAGTCTATGATCATGCA